TGGAAGCAGGCCATTCAGCCCATTGAGTCCACACTGACCCTCTGAAGAGCATCCCACCCACACCCACACCCTTACCCTATCCCTGTAACCCTGCAATCCCCATGGTTGACCCACCTGCCCTGCACATCCCTGGACACTATGGGGCAATTTAGCGTGGACTTTGAACAGTGGGAGGAAACCAGAGCAACTGGAGGAAACCCACGCAGACACGGGGAGAATGTGCAAACTCCACACAGACAGTCGCCCGAGAATGGAATCGAACCCGGGTCCCTGGCAGCAGTGCTAACCACCGAGCCACCATGCCACCATAGATTTATTAATTGAGTTTAAATTCCACTAGCTGTCGTGGTGAGATTTGAACGCACATCCTTAAAGCACTAATCCTCGCCTATTAGCCCAGTAACATTCCCACTATGCCACCTTTACTGAATGCTTGTATTAATTGAGGTCTTATAGCTGGCTGATGCTCCATCTCAAAGGAGGGATATCAAATGCTGTTTTGGGCAGAAATATCCCCATCCAATGACTATTTATAAAAACAAAGCTGGAGGGTCTCGAGTGCCAGTAATGAGTGAGGGACACCACAAGGGTTCAATGCAGACTGACTGTCCCACTGTCTTGCCTCAACTGCAAGTCTTAATCCTAAAGCAAAAGCGCAGGCTCTGCAATTAACAGTGTCCAGTTTCCCACATCAGCCATTTCATGGCAGCTCTCCCAAGCATGATTGCCAACTCAAAACACTAGCTACATAGGACCAGGCAAAAGGGGCCAAAGCAGCCTCCAATACATTAGGCACAAACATCAATGTTCTTTAAATGCGCATCAGTGTTTGAAATTCACCATTAAAGTCACTTCAAATACGTTCCTTCCCCCTGGCAGGCATATCTGTAAGGGGGCAGCATGCTGGCTCAGTGGTTATACTGCTGCCTCACAGCGCCAGGGAGCCAGGTTCAATTCCATCCTCGGGTGACTGTCTGTGTGGAGTTTGCACGTTCTCGCTGTCTCTGTGTGAGTTTCCTCCGGGTGCTTAGGATTCCTCCCGCAGTCCAAAGGTGTGCACATTAAGGTGGATTGGCCATGCTAAATTGCCCATAGAGTCCAGGGATGTGCAGGCTGTGTGGGTTAGCACTGGGAAATAAGGAGGGGGGTGGGGGGGAGCATGGTGGTGGTATGGCATACTGACCTCTACATCACGGAGGCCAGGCGCCAACTGTCTGACACCTCCTCCTTCCGTCCCCTCGATTATGACCCCACCCCTGATCACCAGACCATCAATAACCTCATTACTACAGGGACCCTCCCAACTACGGCCTCCACCTCATCGTTCGCCAACCCCGCACCACTTGTTTCTATCTCCTTCCCAAAATCCACAAACCTGACTGCCCCGGCCGACCCATTGTCTCTGCCTGCTCCTGCCCCACTGAACATATCTCCATTTACCTTGACTCCGTCTTTCTCCCTGGTCCAGGAACCCCGCACCTACGTTCGGGGCACTACCCACACCCTCCAACTGCTCTAAGACTTTCAATTCCCTGGTCCCCAACACCTCATCTTCACTACGGACATCCAATCCCTGTACACTTGTATCCCCCACGCATATGGCCTAAAAGCCTTCCGCTTCTTCCTCTCCCACAGGCTCAACCAGTCCCCATCCACTGATACCCTCATATACCCTTAACAACGTCTCCTTTAACTCCTCCCACTTCCTACAGAGTAAGGGGGTGGCCATGGGCACCCGCATGGGCCCAAGCTATGCCTGCCTCTTCAGTGGATACATGAAACAGTACCTCTTCAGGTGTTTCTCTGGAAACATTCCTTATATCTTCCTCACTAACTCGTGTTCCCACGAGGTGCTTGAACAGTTCATCAACTTTACTAACACCTTCCACCCCAACCTCAAATTCACCTGGACCATCTCCGATACCTCCCTCTCCAGCCTGGACCTCTCTGTCTCCATCTCCGGTAACTGTCTCAGCACCAATATCTATTTCAAACCCACTGACTCCCATAGCTACCTTGACTGCAACTCCTCTCACCCACCCTCCTGCAAGAATGTGATCCCTTATTCCCAATTCCTCTGCCCCTGCCACATCTGCTACCAAGATGGAGCATCGCACTCCCGGACATTCCAGATGTCCTCCTACTTCAAGGACCACAACATTGCTTCCCTCAGTGGTCGAAACGCCCTTGACTGCATCGCTTGCGTTTCCCACACTTCTGCCCTCAAACCCCCTCCCCCAACAAAAATAAAGACAGAGTCCCCCTTGTCCTCACATACCACCCCACCAACCTCCACACCCAGCACTTCATCCTCCACCACTTCCACCTCCTGAATCTGACCCCATCACCAAACAGATATTTCCTTCCCCACCCCTATTTGCCTTTCATAAGTACTGCTCACTTGGCAAATCCCTCGTCCGCTCCACACACCCCACCAACCCTACCGCACCCGGCACCTTTCCCTGCTACACCTGCCCTCTCACCTGTGTCCAAGGCCACAAACAATCATTCCAAATCCGTCAGGGATTCGCCTGTGCATCCTCCAACCTGGTCTACTTTATCCGTTGCTCTCGATGTGGTCTCCTCCACATCGGTGAGACCAAGTGCAGACTCGGTGACTGATTCACAGAGCACCTGCGCTCCATACACTATAATCAACAACATCTTCCTGTTGCCAACCATTATAACTCCCCCTCCCACTCCTTTGGTGACATGTCCATCCTGGGCATCCTCCAGTTTCACAATGATGCCACACACAAACTGGAGGAACAACACCTTATATTCTGCCTCAGGAGCCTACAGCCCGATGGCCTCAACATAGAATTCACCAGTTTTAAAATCTCCCCAACCCTGGCTTCATTCCATGTCCAACCCTCCCTCTCATCATCGCTTCCGTGACCTGACACAACGTGTCCATCTTCTCTCCCACCTATCCGCCCACACTTTCCACTCACCAATCCCCACTTTCCCCTACCTGCATCCCCTATCACCATCCTACCTACCTTACCCCAGCTCCACCTCTCCTCCATCTATTTATTTCCCAGCTCCCTTCCCCCTCCCTATTTCTGATGAAGGGTATAAACCTGAGACATTGACTTTCCTGTTCCTCTGATGCTGCCTGGCCTGCTGTGTTCCTCCAGCTCCACACTTTATTGGCTCTTTGTCCTAGCTACGGGAAATGTCAGGTTACAGGGATAGGATAGGGGGGTGGGTCTGGGTGGGACGTCCTTCAGAGGGTTGGTGTGGCCTCAATGGGCTGAATGGTCTGCTTCCACACTCTAGGGTACTCTATGAATTTATACTTTGGCCAAGTACGTAAGGAGCTGTAATCCCGATTAACAGATGATTTAGCTTTCTGTATCATAGGCAAGAAAAAAATCACAACGGGTTACAAACAGAAATTTTTCAGCTATATTTTAAGAACCAAAAACCATGTTTTTCAATAATAACATACAAGGTTTTAAATTTTACAAACACTTTAACTATCAAATGCTGTCACAACTGCGTGGAAAGGGAAGCAGCTAATGTTGAGTAGAAGCATTCACATGGGACAAAGCTGTAAGTGGTTTTGATGTGTTGTAGCACTTGTTATTAGAAACAAAAGCCATTCTCAAAACCTGGACTTGAAGACAGCCGTAACTTTGAGCCTGTTTGTACATAAGGGCAGGGCCCAGGGAGAAAATGGCTTGTTTCCATTCAGCCTTCTCTTCCTCACATCTTGTTAGCTCTGACACACATACTTTCTGGTTAGACTCCGCTTGGAGTACCCTAAACTATCTGTGTTCTCCGTTTTACAAAAGGTGACACAGAGGCACTGGAGAAAACTTCCCCTCCCGTCCCCCCCAAGATAAATTCACTGGAATGGTCACAATACTGACTGAGAGCCCTTTACTGTCAGGAGAAAGAAACTGAACAGTGCAGGGCTCCTCTCTTTAGAAAAGAGATGGCTGAGGGGTGGCCTGATGAAAATACGTAGGTAGGGTGGATGTAGAGGAGATGTTTCTAAAACAATGGGACCACAAATGTACACAAGATGCTAATAAATTGAGAATTCAGAAGGAATTCCTTCAGCCAGAGAGTGGTAAGAAATGTGGAATCTGCTCCAACAGGGTGTGGTTGAGGTGAATAGTATAATGCATTTAAGGGAATGTAGATAAGCACATGAGGGAGAAAGGAAGACAAGAATAGCTAATGTGTGGTTGAGATGAAGGAGGGCAGGTGGGGGGAGACGATTACTGAGGAGCATAAACAAGGGTACAAAGATCTGTTGGGCCAAAAGACCTTCTATTTTTCTGCAATTTTCCTCCAATTCTGATCCACTCCTGCAACACTAAAAGACAAGGTGAAATTCCAGGACAGTGCAAAGAGAAAAGCCAATGTCACTATCCCGGGTTTGTGCGATTTGAAGGTAGGTGACCCTTTGAGAACCACTGTAACTCCACCAACCCTTCTTGTCGGAGACAATGGTATGGAGACCAGGCAGTTCTGTTGCTGAACATTTCTAAAATCAGCGTTCCCCCTCTGAGCAGTAAAGCAAAGTCCTTAAAACAAAGAGCAACATAAACCTGGAGTTATCCAGTATTATAATAAATCCAGAATGGTCCCCATCAGCAGAATTAATTCCCCCCCCACCCCATAATCTTGGGAGGTTTATTTAATTGTATTTGCGAAGGAAGAACAGATGGCAGAGACCCCCCCCCTGCCCGGCTAATGAAAACAGGTCTTACGATAATTATTCTGAGACATGAAACCTGGTGAAGGTGTGAGTGATTACTGTGCTTTAGCCTGCATGCGATAATACAGCAGCTTGCAGTTTCATTGAGTGATGAATCAGTGCCACACCACAAAATGCTTACTCCGGTTTTCAAACCCAGTGAAAGTGCATGCCTAATCTCCTCTCTCTCTCTCTCTCTCACACACACACACACACACACACACACACACACACACACACACACACACACACACACACACACACACACAC